AAAAAAAAAAAACTCTTTTGAAGCAATATCATGCCTTAGCCTTCTAACCATCTTCTTATAATGATCTAGTATTTAGATAATGAATAGGTCATCATGTGATGGAACCAATTAGGAAAGAACAAGTATATCTATTTATGGAGCTTGTGGAGTAACAATAGTGTGGATGGAGGTTCCCTAAACTCCGAAGCAAAGATCTCTCCATACAAGTTGTATTTCAAACTCATTCCCAACCATGAAATTAGGCTCAAGGTTAACCGCAACATCACACATTAAGTCTAAGCATGGTTGTAGAAGACAATAGAAATATTGGAATTGGGTTTGAAGTGGGTGAAAAAAGAATTAAAGCTTTTTATTGCATCAAGCCCAAATTATTCATCGTATAATTAAATTTTTCTTAAGACGCCTCGTTCATTAGCGGAAATAAATAAATTCTATTGCCATTTATGAATTCTTACCCTTATTGATTTGGCTTTCTTGAGCACACTTTAGAGTTTTGATGCTCTTTTAATATTTTGGGTTTAATTTTTTTTTTTATGTTTTGTTCATAATTATAATGTTTTAGTCTTGTATATTAGCCACTCAATTCTCTGTTTCTTTAAAGTTGAATTTTTTCATTGACTAAATGGGCATCTCCTTTACAAACTAGTGATTTTAAGATATCTTCTAATCGGTATCGTCTCACTTCTTATATTTTGGCCACAATTTAGATGTCTCTCTCTTGTAAAAGTATCTTGATAATATTATAACATTATTTATTTGTATAATCTAAATTCAATATATTTATGCTTATGCACATCAATATTATGATAATCATAATGATAGTTGTTAACGATAACCGTTTTTATAACATAATATTTTAGATTGCTATAAATCACATCATGATGATTTTATGCATATTCTCATCTTTAGGAGGTGGTTGATAGCACCTCATTAACATGATTTACATCTGAATTTATTTGGTTTAACATAAATCCAGACAAAAACACGAATAAAGGAGGCAAGATCCAACATTCAAAATCCCATTTTTCTATCTATTTCAATTGTAATCCAGATCTAGTAAATCCGAATGAGGTGAATTTAACGAAATTAATGAGAACAAAAGACACATTACCTTGTCTCCTCCGTCGTCACCAAACATGCAACCAGATTTACCTGATTTTAATCATAATTGTACTGAACTCGATTATGAATTTAAAAGCATCCGGATTTGATAAAGCTGGAATTATGGGACTTGCTAAGTCCAATTTAACGGAAATCATGGATGCAAGCATACCTCATCACCGTAATCCTCTTCGAATAAAAATAGGGAGGGCGAGGGAAGTATAGAAGGAAGATGACCTCACAATGGGCCATTCAGTGCGGATGACCGCACGGCAGTTCTGCTCTTCTTCCCGCCAATCGACTCTGTGTTGGCAGAAGCTCGCATAAAAACTTATGGGCCATAGATTGCTACTCGGCTCTTTTCATGAAGCCCGCCGACATCTTCACACTGGCGCATCGCCGCCAGAGCCATCCTTCGCCGCCAGAGTCATCCAGTCTATCTCCAGAAATGGTGATATTTTCCACGCCAGAAAACTGTTCGACGAAATGCCTGACAAGGATATTTTCTCTTGTTCCGCCATGATTTATGGCTATGCGAGCAACGGCTTCTTCTCCGAATCCCTTACCCTGTTTTCTCAAATAATGGATTTCAGTATCTCTCCCAATACTCACACCTTTGTTGCAGCCTTACTCGGCTCTGCAGGCCTCAAGAACTTGAGGTTCACTGACTGTATTCATGGAAGAATCATCAAAAGTGGTTTGGAATCCAATACATTTGTGTCAACTTCTTTGCTGAATTCATACTCTAAGTCTGGAGCAGCTAATGATGCCTACAAATCATTTATCGAACTAGAAAGACCAAAACTTGCTTCATGGAATGCCATGATTGCTGGCTTTGTCTTCAACTCTGAATTCGAACGATGTTTCTGGTTATTCAAACTGCTTCAAAAAGCCCGTATAAACCCTAATTGCATCACCATGATGAGTGTTACTCAAAGCTGCATTGGTCATGGCTCATTGAGACTATCTGAAAGCATTCATGGTTATGTTCTTAAGGCTGGGTTTGATTCTGATGTCTCCTTGATGAATTCAGTTCTAGATATGTACTCGAGTTTTCGGCGTTTCGATATTACCAAAGATTTCTTCATGAAGATGGCTACTAAAGATGTTATAACTTGGACAAACATGATGAGTTTTATGTTAGAGCTTTCATGTCCTGCTGTGCTGAAGCTCTCAATTTATTTTCTCAAATGAGAAGCAGTGGAATCAATGCTGATATGGTTTCAATGGTCAATGTTATCACCGCTTGCACCCTTTTGGGAGATTTAGTAAAGGGTATGTCTGTTCATGGTCGCATGATGTCCTATGGCTTTGTTTCAGAGCTTCCTGTAATGAATTCTCTGATAACATTGTATTCCAGATGTGGAGACATGTGCTCAGCTAATATAATATTTGATGATATAGTTTGTAAGAGCTTAGTATCTTGGACTGCAATGATGTTTGGGTATTTATGCAATAAGCAGCAAAGAGAAGGGCTTCATTTGTTGATTAGAATGAGGAGAGAAGAAACTTTTTATCTTGACTCAGTAACTCTGGTAGGTTCCTTATCATCTTGTAGTGAGCTGGCTAGTTTTGAGCTCTGTAAGGAACTCCATGTTCATAGCTTGAAATCAGGTTTAATATCATATGTTGATGTGCAAAATAGTTTGATGATTTCATATGGGAGGTGTGGTTATGCTGATATTGGTTTTAGAGTATTTAAGGAGATGATTTATAGGGATGTTGTGTCATGGAATGCTATGATATCTTCATATGGTATTAATGGAGAAGGAGAAAAAGCAGTTGCTCTGTTTCAGGAGATGGAGAGATGCGGTGAAGAGCCAGACAGCGTCACATTTGTAAATGTTTTGAACGCTTGTAGTCACTCTGGGATGGTGGATGAAGGCTTGATGGTTTTTGAAAAGATGTTGACGGAGAAGAGAATCAGACCAAGAGGAGAGCACTGTGGGTGTGTTGCGGACATGCTGGCTCGTGCCGGTCGGTTGGAGGATGCCAAGAAAGTGGCGGATATGATGCCGTCTTCGAGTGTTTGGAAGGCTATGCTCAGCGGGTGCCGGATTAATGGTGATTCTAGGCTTGCAGAAGTTGCGGCAGGAAGGGTGTTTGAGAAAGGTTCGGAGGATGCGAGCCATTTTGTTCTGCTTTCGAATGTTTATGCCTCAATGGGGAGGTTTGATCGTGTTGAGAGTTTGAGAGGTCAGATTGGAAGGAAGTGTTGGGTTAAGAATATTGGATTTAGTATGGTTGATAATGTGCAACATGGAGTTGTTTAATGGTGGAGTTGCTTGATTTGTTATAAATGAGACTTCCTGTCATTTAGTTTTGTGTTGAGAGGTGAGGATAATGAAGACAATAAAGAGTTGCCAAATTTGAAGCCCCCTAAAGCCTCTAGTCATCTCGAGTTAAAACTTACCAAGACCTAAAACGTGGATTACACTGGACGCTTAGTGCTCAGATATTGACACGACTAAGGGATTGATGAAGTCGCCAACTTGTATATGTAAGTAAATATCTTAGCAGCTAGTTCATAATACTCGCTGATTAGAGGTTCTAGCCAAGATTCATTTGAGGTTCTTGCTATAAGTACTTTTGGGCCAAAACCTTATTCATCTTTTTCTAGACTTTATCTATCTCAAGAACTGAAAAGATATGAGATGACTTGATTTTATTGATGAAAAGAGGGGTATAAATACCCATTACATAACTTACTGGTAAGGAAAACAATAAAAACAGAATACAGTAGAAAAGAAAAAATAGAAAACGGAAATGAATTATAACAAATATAAGAGGCAACTAATCTTCTAATTTAAGGAGAAAAATAAATAGAGATTCCCAAGATCCCTCATATAATAAAGGGTTATAACAAATTTGGACTGTAATCATTAGTATTTTCGAAATTAGTAAATATAATAATTAGTATTTTCGAGATCTTTCAACACTCCCCCTCAAATTGGGTTGTACTGATTGTACATGTCTAACTTGTTACATAATTCTTCAAAGTTGATTCTTGGGAGAGACTTAGTGAAGATATCTTTTGTTTGATGTCGGGAAGGAATGTATGCAAGTTCGACGACTCATATCTCAATGTTTTCTGAGATAAAGTGTCGATCGATCTCGATGTGTTTTGTTGTTTCGTTCTATCATGGTGTACTGGAATTTTTGCAATGTTGATGGTTGTCTGGTTGTCGCATTATAATTTAACAGTTTTTTCAGTTAGCATTTTGAGTTCGCTGAGTATTCTTCGAATCCACATTCTTTCGCAAATATCGAGTGCAAGAGCTCTGAATTCAGCTTCAGCACTACTTCTTGATACCACATATTGTTTTTTGCTTCTCCAAGTGACTAGATTTCCCTAGACATAAGTGCAATAGTCGGAAGTCGATCGTCGGTCCGAGACATCCCCTGCCCAGTCTGCATCTGAATACACTTCTATACTTTGATCCTTATTCCTTTGAAACAATAGCGTTTTGCCTGGAGTCATCTTTAGGTATCTCAAGATTTTGTAGACTGCATTCATGTGTTTTTCCGTAGGGTTGTTCATGAATTGGCTAACAACACTAACAGAAAAATCAATGGCGGATCGTGTGTGTGAGAGATAGATGAGTAGCCCCATGAGTCGCTGATATCTCCCCCTATCCACAGGTGTGCTATTTTTCTCAGTGTCGATCTTCTTGTAGGGATCCATTGGAATATCGACGGGTTTGCAACCAGACATACTTGTTTCCTTCAACATGTCCAATGTATATTTCCGTTGTGACACAAATATTCCTCGTTTTGATCGAGCTAGTTCCATGCCGAGAAAGAACTTTAGGTTTTCGAGGTTTTTGATTTCGAATTCCCGAGTGAGAAGCTTTGTCAGATTTGTGAGTTCTTCTTTGTGATTTCCAGTGAGGATGATATCGTCGACGTATACGATCAGAATTGCAATCTTCTTTTCGGGAGAGGTTTTCACGAAGAGAGTGTGATCTGCTTGACACTGAGTATACCCGTGTTTTGTCACTGATTTTGCAAATCTATCGAACCATGCTCGGGGAGATTGTTTGAGGCCGCATAATGATTTTTGGAGTTTACATACTTTGTTGCTTGGAAAGGATGCTTCTAGTTCGGGAGATGCTTTCATGTAAACTTCTTCTTCCAAATCGTCATTTAGGAAAGCATTTTTCACGTCGAGTTGATGTAGTTGTCAGTCTTCATTTGCCGAAAGTGAGAGAAGGATTCTTATGGTGTTAAGTTTGGCCATGAGGGCAAAGGTTTCTTGGTAATCAATATCGTAGCACTGTGAAAAGTCTTTTGCTACGAGACGTGTTTTTAATCTCTCAATTGTACCATATGTCTTGTATTTGATTTTGAAGATCCATTTGCAGCTTATTGCTTTCTTTCTCTTTGGCAGGTCTGAAACAGTCCATTACCATTCTTTTGTAGGGCTCTTACCTCCTCATTGATGGCCGCTTTCTACCTCGGGTGTTTGAGAGCTTCATCAATCGTGTTTGGGACTTGTGTATTGTCAAATGCAGTAACATAGACTCGGTAAGCTGAAGATAGTCTTTCATAGGACACAAAGTTGGAGTTCGAATGCATCATGTGTTCGTACCTGAGTGGAGGACGGATAGACCTAACACCTTTCATCTATGTGTTTGTTGGACATCTGAGGACTAGACGGAGACTGGTTGTTAGGTATATTTCTAAGTGAGTTGGATGAACTTGCTGAATCCGAGTCAGGAGATAATGAATTTGATTCAAGGGACAAGGATTTGATATGTGGTGTTATGAACTCGTTGCCCCCCAAGACTGATATTCCCTTAAAGTCTCCCCCTGAATATTAGAATTGGGGTTAGGTGAGTTGGATGAACTTGCTGAATCCGAGTCAGAAGATAATGAATTCGATTCAAGGGACAAGGATTTGATATGTGGTATTATGAACTCGTTGCCCCCCAAGACTGATATTCCCTTAAAGTCTCCCCCTGAATATTAGAATTGGGGTAGTAAGGCTGATTTTCAAAGAAGACGACATCCATAGTGTTGTAGATTTTTCTTGTGAGAGGAGAGTTGCACTTATACCCTTTTTGAAGAGGCGAGTAGCCGAGGAAAATACATTTAGTATATTTGGGGTCAAGTTTGTTGTGATTGTGTGAATGAATGTGAACAAAGGAGGAGCAACCAGATACTTTGGTATGTAGATTTTGGGTAATTGCCTTGGTGTGAGGAAATGATTTGAGAAGTTGGACTGGTCTTTGAAATTTGAGGACCCGAGAAGACATCCTATTGATGAGGTAGGCTGTAGTGGATACAGCGTCACCCCAAAAAACCTTCGGCATGTTAGAGGAAAACATGAGGTAGCAGTCCACCTCGAGAAGGTGGCGGTTCTTGCATTCGGCGATTCCATTTTGTTGAGGAGTGTCGACGCAAGAACTGAGATAGAGGATGCCTTTAGAGGAGAAATAAGAGCCGAGGACGGAAGCGAAGTACTCCTTTGCATTATCATAGATCATTGAGTAAAATTGTTCAAATATGTGACCGACTGCAGATTTATTTTTCATAAGAAATAGTCACGTTAGTCGAGTGTGTTCATCAATAAAGGAGACAAACCACCGAGTCCCGGTAAGGGTTGTAACACGGGATGGGCCCCATATATCATTGTGAATGAGTGCAAAAGGTCGAGAAGAGGTGTAACCAACACGTGAAAATGACGTGCGAGTGTTTTGGCAAGTTGACAAAATTTATATTGAAAAGAACGAACATTTTTGTTGATAAATAAATTTAGAAATAGTTTTGGTCGTGGTGGTGAAGTACTGTTGATGACATAGAAACCCGAGCACATCTCAACATTGTCAATCGTCGTCCTCGAGTCCGCATCCTGAAATTCACACATGATAAGGAAAAATTTACCAATACACCTCAAATCAATAGTCAACTTTCCGATGGATATTAAATTGCAATTTAAAGTAGGAACATGTAGCACAAATCATAGAAGAATGTTTTCAGTGATGCGCACGGAACAAAAGCCGGTGACTTTGGAGACAGAGTCATCGGCAACGCGGATGGTGGAGTTGTTTTCGCACGACATATAGTCATGGAGAAGGGAGGCATCGCCAGTCATGTGAAGAGAAGTGTCGGAATCGATGATCCACTGACCGAGGGATCCTTGATTGACTGTGAAAACATGGTAGAACGTACCTTGATGCGCGAACAGGCCGGTGATAAGGTCGGGAATAGCCAGATCATGTGGTTTGCCGATCAGTTTGTGCAACCAATCTAGTTGCTCTTTGCTAAATGGGTTGGGCGCTGGTGCAGGAAGGTCATCGAAGGACGCTGTTGGCACGGGGAGCGCGATCAGACTGAGGCTTCCAATCAGCTGACTTTCCATGAAACACCCAACACGTGTCTTTATTATGTTCTGGTTTGCGGCAATGGTCGCACCAAGAACGAACTTTGCGTGATAAGTTGTCGCTATGTCGAGGAGGAGGAACTCGAACTGCAAGGGCGGAGACATCAACGGAAAGATTGGGTGAGGTGGAGATAGGCCCAAGCATGACTAAACTTTGCGTGATAGGTTGTCGCTGTGTCGAGGTGGAGAAACCCGAACTGCAAGGGCGGAGACATCAATGGAAAGATTGGGTGAGGTGGAGATAGACCCAAGCATGACTTTCTGCCGTCTTTTTTGGGACCGAGCATTTTTTGCTCGATAATCTGACGGTATAAGTTGGAGTCCGGAGTGCATGACCAGACATGGACTTCATACATGTCAACCTGTTGCCAGTAACGTGAGAGGGCATTAAAATAATGAGTCATAGATTGATCACCTTGGCGAAGATCGTGGAGGATTGACTCGATCTCGAAGAGCTTGGATGTGTTATCTGAGTGAGAGTATGTCTCTCAAGCAACATCCCAAATACTCTTGGTCGTGTCGTAAAGAAGAAAATTTTCGCCGATGTAGTTGGTCATTGAGTTGATTAACCGCGACATGACCATATGGTTTTCTGCATTCCATGTCCGGAATTTTGGGTCAACATCTCAAATACTCTTGGTCATGTCGTAAAGAAGAAAATTTTCGTCGATGTAGTTGGTCATTGAATTAATTAACCGCGACATGACCATATGGTTTTTTGCATTCCATGTCCGAAATTTTGGGTCATCCTTGGTCGGAGCGACGACATCACTGGTGATATAGTCGTCATTCTCTCTGTCGCAGATAAACATCATAATGGATTGGGATCACTGGAGATAGTTCTGGCCGTTGAGTTTATGGCCAGTGATGAGGGAGGAAGTGTCATCGATTCCGTGTCGTATCAAAGAAGATTGGTATGACTCTGATACCATGAAAAGATATGAGAAGACTTAATTTTAGTATCTAAGAAGATTGGTATGACTTTGATACCATGAAAAGGTATGAGAAGACTTAATTTTATTGATGAAAAGAGGAGTATAAATACTCATTACAACACTTACTGGTAAGGGAAACAATAAAAACAGGATATAGTAAAAAAGGAAAGAAATAATAATAAAATATAAGAGATAGCTAATCTCTCTAATTTAAGGAGAGAAATAAATAGAGATTTTCAAGATCCCTCGTATAATTTATAACTCTCTAAATATAGAGTTATAACAAATATGAAATATAATAATTAATATTTTCGAGATTTTTCAACAAAAAACAACTATAATTTTGATTTGACACGTCATTTCTCTCTTTAAGAAGCCAGCCAAGCCTTCCATAAATCTAAGACATTTAAAAATTTTAAAATAAACTATATATATATATATACCTAACCCCTCTTCTCTTTTTCTTCTACTCAATTTCTAATCTACAATAGAGCTTCAATATAAATCCACAAATTGTATTGGATCCAATATAAGACGTTTATTGAAAGAAGCAATGGAAACTTCAGCCTGTTAAGCTTTTGAGATGATGATCATTACCATGAAACTTGCTCGAGCAAAATTGCACTCTCAATTAATGACTTATATGGTATATTGACCACAAGAAGCAGGCATGCAGGCATGGACCCGTCTTTGTACAGAATTTGATAAAATAACAGAGTAACAGAAGCTCTCTGGAAGCAAAAAAAAAATGAAATCTGTTGTCATCCTAAAAAAGATCTTTAACATGAATTTCCAATCTAATAAAATATGATAACTTTACCAAAATAAAAAATCTTTTTTTTAAGCCAAAAAGTTAAGATACGCACAGCAACTTTTTTAAAAATTCTATTTCATTTCAAAATTAATTTTACAAAAAACTACCATCATGTCAGAGGGAGTTGAAAAAGGACTGAAAGGAACTCACACTTGATCAAACTGCTCTGAATCAGCTAAAAGTTGAGTCACTTTAAAAAAAACTAAGGATGCAAACTTAAGTGTTGAGGAAACTGCTTATAATTCCAAGCACCAAAAGCTCCAATCTACTTCACGGTCTGAACAAATTGTAACTTCTCTCGATTGGGTATTTGGGTTAAAGATCTTCCCGAATAACCATAGAAAAGCATATTGAAGGTTTCTATATAACCTAAGCTAGCTCTCCTCTTCCCAACGCTCCCTTGGTATCTCACCAGAGTCAACAATAATCACCTTCTTCCTTGGTTTACCATTATACGTACCTGCTCCGCCTTCTATAGCGTACACTGTGTCCATTCCCTGCAATACCTTCCCAAATGCCACATGCTCCCCATCCAACCTACAGAGACATGAAATTAATATTATTATTGTGTAAATTATGCATCTAGCTCTATGTGTGCATTACATGTAAACATATATGTATACTCATGTGTCCTCGCTGAAATTGTGCGACGAGTACACAGTTGTTTATGCAGGTAATCTGCACTTAGAGCTGCAGTATGTAATTCACCACTAAAAATTTCTAGGTGCTCAAATGTCTAGCAAATTTGTTAAAAATGAAGTGAAGAATCTCAACATGTTGGGTTCTAACTCTCACAATGTCCGGAAAAAATAAATAAATAAATAAACTAATAATTTCTAGTAGGACGGATGGTATTTACCAGCTTGCCTTTACTGATGTTATGAAGAACTGCGATCCATTGGTATCAGGCCCGGAATTCACCATTGAAACAACACCTGGAGTTAAGAGTTGAATTTTAACAAGCAGATGATCCGAGACTTTGAAGATTAATAAAATTTTCAATCAATGAGAACAAGCTGCGTGATAATTAGAATACTAGTTCTATAGATTATGCAAGACATGGCAGTTGCAAACTGAGGATGTAGAAGGGTAAACGAATTAAAATTAGCCAACGAAAAAAACATCTGGTAATTAAAAAAGACATGGCAGTTGCAAAATGAGGATGTAGAAGGGTAAACGAATTAAAATTAGCCAACGAAAAAAACATCTGGTAATTAAAAAAGACATGGCAGTTGCAAAATGAGGATGTAGAAGGGTAAACGAATTAAAATTAGCTAACGAAAAAAAACAACAGGTAATTACATTTCAGTTACCCGCCCCCCCATCCCCACCACCAATTCACTGATTCCCACTTTTAGTTTGTTTTGAGAACCATCATCTAAAAAAAAAAATCACATTGTAACCCTAAGTAGTATATTTAATATTATCAGAAAACCATTTAACGGAAAAACCTTCAACAAGAAAAAACAGGACCTTTCACTAGAATAACAATAAACTTCGTTTTTGCTATATAAATAATAAATTTTATGACTTCAAATGTTTCCTTCAGAGAGTTTTTTTACAGAAATGTGGCAAGCAGTCTAGATGATACTTGAAATGATCCACTGCACTTTGCAGCAAAATATCAAGATTGATCAATGTGTACTAAAACAGCGCTGCGCTATTAAGAAAGGAAAAAAGACAAAAAAAAAAAAAAAAAAAAAAAAAAGGGATAGGAAGGGAGGAAATGAAATGAGAAATTATAGTGAAGAATTTTAGGGGACATAATTAGGTGGAGGAAATACACCATAAGCTTAGTCCTTAAGGCTCATTAGGTTCCATTCAAGATTAACAAAATATAGCCATACTTATTGCTCAGCTAGCTAAAGCTTAATGCAACAAATAGAAGGCTGTTCACCTCATTTTAGTCTTTGGATGTCCTAACTAAAAATCAACTCACAAGTATCACTAAGATTTAGCTTCGCAAACCCATAAGAACTTAATAGCAATATGCTTACCCCTCAGCTAGGTTCACGACACTGTTCTCCAGCTTTCCCTGATAATATGACAAATAACTTCCCCCGTCTCCCTACTCTTAAACCCTTAAAATCCATATGCTTACAACTGACACTTCTCCTATTGTGCTTTCAGAGAAGCAATTCATTCCACTTGTAATGGTCGCCCCATATACATTTTTTTTTTTTGGCAAACATTTCTGTCTTCATCCTATAATTTTTTAGACAATCCATATTCCTAGTTTAAATTACAAAGACAACTATGGATTCCCTTTCTAAGTGGTGTCAGGCCATGGTTCAAAATGTCAATCAGGAATGATGGAAATCAGGCAGCTAAATTAGTTTTCTATAATTAGCTGAATAATATTTAGATTATATGAATATGCATTATTAAGTTAGTTAAAATGGATTATGCATATAATTAGCTGAATAATATTTAGATTATATGAAAATGCATTATTAAGTTAGTTAAAATGGATTATGCATAATATTTTGTACCTAACATAGATTGTAAGATTATAATTTATTGGAATGAAAGCAAAGGGAAAAGGCATCGAGCCTACTTAAAATTCAACCTATTTTCTCGAAGATTGACATGGTATCAGAGCCTTCTCATGGCGAAAATCTTTGTCGTTGCTTCCTCCTCCTCCTTTGTACCCTATTCCTCTTTCAGTCCGCCGCTCACCTCGGAGACTCTATCCGACATCAACCTCCTCTGATCTCTCCTCCGGTTCTCCCACAAAATATCTCTCTTTGACGCCCCTTGCTCAATCCTGATGCATTACTACTCTTCCATCGCCTGTAAATCCAGGCTACTCGCCATCCTCTTTGATGAACTTCTCCTCCAACAAGACCCTTACACAGACGCCATCAAGCTTCCCCGGTCGGCCTCCCTCTATTTCCACGAGATCTTCATCGTTCTCCAGCGATTCAAATCCCTAATCACTGAATGCTCCTCTCGCAGAAGAATGCAGCTTATTCTGCTTTGTGATTCCCTCGCCAACGGCTTCTACGAGCTCACCCTCGACCTCTCTACTCTTCTCAGCATACTCCTCCTCCTCAATCTCCGCCTCTCTGATGATGTCTGCGATCTTGTCGATTTCCTCCGTTGCCAATGCTGCGGGTTAACCCACACCATTGATCCCGACATCTCTGCTCTCCGCAGGGAGATTCTCGCCATCATCCACAAGATCAAGCTCGAGATCGTCCCAGATCGCTCTCGTCTCGCAGCCATCTTCCACAATCTTGGCCTCAACAACTCCTTGAGCTGCCAAGGATAAATTGAGTGCCTCGAGCAAGAAAATGGGGAAAGGGTCTCGAAGAAATGGACGGTTGCTTCCTCCTTCGTTCACCTTCGACTGTTTTGCCTTGCTTCGTCTACTTCGGTTTCATACAAACGCCATCATCGACTTTGTTGGCCTTTTGCTGCTTCTTCCTACTTCCGTCTCCCACATCTAGTTCCAGCTGTGACTGCTTTGTCCGTTTGCTTGTCCGGAACCTCTCGTCGTCTACTCAACGTCTGATTATTTCTTCGCCTACGTTGTTTCATTCTACTCCGTCTTCCTCTTCAACTCGGCTAGTCTCGACGGAGCCTCTCCTTCGTTCGAACTCCACCTACAGCGGCTCACGCTTATTCGTCGCCTTCATTTGCACGCCAACGAGACATTTCCTTTTTTCATCTACACACCTGATCTCGGCTTCAGCACTTTTGGCGTGAAGATCAAGAACAAATCATCCTCGTCGTCACCAAAAGAATTAATAGCATTTGGATCGTATAACAAGACGCAGATCCTACTCGTGGGCAATGATCGATAGCATTTGGAACGTGTAACTGGATCCTACTTATGGGGTATGATAGGTAGCATTTGGATAGTGTAACTAGATCCCTCTTGTGGGCTATGATCGGTAGCATTTGGATCGTGCAACTGGACGTGAATCCTTCTTGTGGCTATGATTAGAATATCTGAACGACAACGATAGAGGATTTATTGCTTTTCTTTGCTCAAATCATATTATGGTTCAAAAATTGTCTCTGAAGCTTTGACATTCTCGATTTCGGCACTCACGCTTGATGATTGTTGGTCCTGGCAAAGTTTCTTGTTGGCAAATTGATGCTTCTTGATTAGTCGGCATCAATTTCAGGGGGGAGTGTCAATCAGGAAGGACGGAAATCAGACAGCTAAATACTTCGGTTTCATACAAACGCCATCCTCGACTTTGTTGGCCTTTGCTGCTTCTTCCTACTTCCGTCTCCCACGTCTAGTTCCAGCTGTGACTGCTTTGTCCGTTTGCTCGTCTGGAACCTCTCGTCGTCTACTCGACGTCTGATTATTTCTTCGCCTACGTCGTTTCATTCTACTTCGTCTTCCTCTTTGACTCGGTTAGTCTCGACGGAGCCTCTCCTTCGTTCGAACTCCACCTACAGCGGCTCACGCTTATTCGTCGCCTTCATTTGCACGCCAACGAGACATTTCCTTTTTTCATCTACACACCTGATCTCGACTTCAGCACTTTTGGCGTGAAGATCAAGAACAAATCATCCTCGTCGTCACCAAAAGAATTAATAGCATTTGGATCGTATAACAAGACGTAGATCCTACTCGTGGGCTATGATCGATAGCATTTGGAACGTGTAACTGGATCCTACTTATGGGGTATGATAGGTAGCATTTGGATAGTGTAACTAGATCCCTCTTGTGGGCTATGATCGGTAGCATTTGGATCGTGCAACTGGACGTGAATCCTTCTTGTGGCTATGATTAGAATATCTGAACGACAACGATAGAGGATTTATTGCTTTTCTTTGCTCAAATCATATTATGATTCAAAAATTGTCTCTGAGGCTTTGACATTCTCGGTTTCGGCACTCACGCTTGATGATTGTTGGTCCTGACAAAGTTTCTTGTTGGCAAATTGATGCTTCTTGATTAGTCAGCATCAATTTCAGGGGGGGGTGTCAATCAGGAAGGACGGAAATCAGACAGCTAAATTAGGAGTTTTCTATAATTAGGAGCTTCCTTATTTAAATTATTTTTAATTTCTTTATTTTGATTTATTTCCTTGTTAGTTAAATATTTAGATTATAAATATGGATTATTAAGTTAGCTAAAATAGATCATATAGAATATTTTGTACCTAAAATAGATTGTCATATTATTATTTAATGGAATGAAAGCAAAGCGAAGAGGCATCGCGCCTATTCAGGATTCAGCCTATTTTCTCGAAGATTGACACAAAAAAAAAATAGTAGCATTATACTCTAGAGGCTTCAGAACTGATTTCTTTACCTCTTAGTAAATCCAGTATGTTGTCATTGTGTGTATATTATCGAGTTTAGTCTTAATGGTCATAAGACAGCCCTCAGACTCATCTTATTACCAGCACTTCTTTTAAATTTCTTATTAACGGTTATTTATCTCAGCTTGTTCTTATTCATCTTTGTCATGCGTCACTGACCTCATCACCAATTGAACAAAAAAATATCTTCATCTATAAGAAACAAGTTTATATGGAGCAATATTACTTAAAATAATCTCCACTAATTTGGAAGATTCAACGCAATTGTTCAAGAGTTTGATATTATTAGTATGGAGGCAGATCACTCAATTTTCCACCACCACGTATCCCTTTATTAGTGTATTTAATTAGTTGTCAGTGAGAATGACAGCTATTATAGGAAGTGATGAAGCAGATATTTGCCATTTAAAACCGTGCCTCTTCAAATATCTTCAATCAAAAGATTGGAATAAACTTTATTTAATTGATAAAAAAAGTGACTTAATCAAAATTTGGTTTGTTATTTCTCAAAAAATCAAAATGTCAAATATATTGGAGAAGCATAAATGAAGAGTTGTAGACCCTCTGAGACTATAATTTTGATCCAAACGTTGAACTTCTACTAGATTAGGAGGAGCATTTATCTCATCAAGCTAAATATAGAAGACTCACTTGTCCAGATTTTATTCCTCAATTGAAATATTGCCATTCGTATTCTCAGATATCTATCAATGAGGGCAGAGATTATTTATAAGAAGAAAGGGGTAGCATACATGCTAATGCTGATTGGGAAGGGTCTTCTGTTGATAGAGGTTAACTTGGCATCTCGGGAGAACAGAAAAAAAATGTTGGCAAGTGAAATGCTAAGGTTATATATTAAGCGGTGGCAATGGCTACATGTGAGCAAACACGGCTGAAATAATTCCTGCAAGAAATAACATTTCGAGAAACAAGCCAAATGAAATTGATTATAAAAATTAACATTGCATATAGCCTTGAACCCAACTTTTCATTAGAGAACTAATCGTATAGAAATTGACAGTCATTTTATCAAGTAGAAGTTTCATTTAAAGAGCGTGATTATTTTTATAATTCAGCAAACCAGCTGGAAGATGTATCTTTTTTCTCGCATGGGTTCTTCAAAAAAACCTACTTTTTTAACCAAGATTGGGGCATGTGATATATATGCTTTAACTTAAGGTAGAATGTTGAAATTGTAAAATCGAGATAGTAACACTAGAACTATGAAAGATAGTTTAATATTCAATGTAAACATGGTAAATGTCATTATGAATTATTAAGTCCATCAAGTGGTGGCTGAGGTTCTTATATAAATCTCCTATAATTAGGAATAATATACACAAAAACTTCTCTCTGTTTTTACTAAGCATCCATGTAGGGAGCGATTTTTCCATATGGAGGCCGTAGGTACGAACTCCAATTAACTTAAGCCACATCATTAATATTTAATTAAATGAATTTTTAATATTTTAAAATTAAACACACTGTCATACACTTTTTGGTAGGGAATGGTTTTAATTGGGCGACCGTACAGAGTCGCTGGAGGGGAAAAACCCATATAGGAGAAGTGCATTATCAAAAAGTAAATTAAATTAGTTCACAAAAAAATGGGTTTGGTTTGTGATTTGCACTTTAAAGAAACAAAATGCACAAGCGCTTAGCTTAGCACACTGAGCAAGTGTAAATATATCTCAATTGATAAAATAACAATAAATTTTAATTAAAAAATAAATAGTAAAAAAATTTTCAAAATTTATGTCATAAAATGCTAACAGCTCCAGTGTGTAGACAACATAGAAATTATGAGTGTTTGAAGAAGCTTTTTTAACTTTAGTACATGACAAATTTGGGACTAAACATTGGCGCGAATAACCAGTAATGAAGACTGACGCAATAATGATTATTCACTTATAAAAGTGAAAATTTGTATAAATGCAAGTAATATTAACCTGTTTTTATTTACTATGAATTGAAGCTAGATAGTTTAATCTAGTTAAGCTGAAAACAGAAAATAAATTAATTCATCCAAAACCTGCATGAGAGTGCTTTACGATGAAATTTTCATCAGGGAAACTGCCACCATAAATGGATTCACTGCCTCTACCATCACCATAAATCATATCGCCACCTTGAATCACAAAACCAGAAACTATGCGATGAAAAGGTGTTCTCTTGTAATGAAGAGCCTTTCCATGTGCCCCCATGCCCTTCTCACCTGAAAAAGGGAATGAAATTTCATGCATCTAAAATAAGTATAGATGTTCTTGAAGCCTTTTAGAATAATAACCTCATTCTGCTCCAAGGAAGAGAAAGCCTTACAGAAAATCTAAGCAACAAAAGAAATAGAGGAGAATATGAAATTTTATTCATCAAGATACCTGTACAAAGGGATCTGAAGTTTTCTGCAAACCAAAAAAGGATGAGCATTAGTAGCATGCTAAAAGAATTAACAGTGAAAAAGAGCTTTCATGGTAAGCATTTCCATATTAAGCACATGTAGAATAGAAATAAAAATAATAATAATAAAAGTTATAGTGGATGTGCTCCAAGTAAAAATTATTAAGTTGCACTTCATACTCCAAAAATGTTTAAGCGCCATAACTTGAAAAAGTTAGCAATCATAAAGTAACTTAACAAAATACAACGCCTAAAAGTTAGCAGGATGCAATTGCATATTATGCAAAATGTAGAGGCTTCAGCCTATTTAAATTAGGTGGATGTAATGGCAAAGCAAAGATACAATAAAAACTAAATAGTGACAGGCAGAAAAAATTATCGAAAGAGTGGGGATTAAGCTTGCCAACTCCTACCCATTGATAGGAAAGCTGGGGAGATCCTTTCTCACTAATTGAACGAACAAAGTTACAGAATGCAAGAGAAACCAAAGGAAAGCAACCCTACAAAAAAGGGAATCAAGCAATAGCCCTAACAAGATCTCAGCTACACTTTTCTAAAACAAGCTGCCTTGTTTCCATGACTAGAATCAACAGATAATAACTTAAGATAATGTATAAACCAAACTGATTCACCATTTTTGGCGATATTATTGTTACTTACACTCCCAATGCTCCAAAAAAACAAAGAGAAGGAAGATAGCGATAAGGGAGCATAAAAAGAAACCTCAAAGAGAGAGAAGTCTCTGCCAAATTTTATGTGAGAAGTTATAACTGAAAACAACTGTAAAACATCCTCCAGAAGAAAATTGCACATAAAAAACTACAAGAAATCAGAAGGGCTCAAATGTGAAAAAGAAGATTAGCTAGGAATCTTTTCCAGAAAAACAATTCAATTACTAGAAAACTACTTTCAAGCAGAACAGGCCTTAAAGATTCAATGATAAAAGGATGTAAGAACACATTCATACATTAAGAAGACTAAAAAGAGTTGACTGAATCCAAAAAAAACCGCGAGGGGTGGGGCAGGGGGACGTTCAAATTGGAAAGTCAACATTTGAATTCAAACGTCCAATTCAACTGACAGTAAAATTTAGAACTATGACTACAGCTGAAAGTGGGGAATCTAAAGCTTTAAAGTTTCAAAAGAAAAAGCATTAAAAAACAGATGAAATGAAAAAATCATAAATAGTTCTGAAATTAGGTTAACAGAAAGTATATAGAACTTAGCATAGCAGAACTTCTATCTCCAGTCATGAAAATAAACAAAAGGCTATTAAAATTATAGAAATTGTTGATGGCTCAATAAGATTACGTATAATAAATGCCCTTCCCATCACAAAATTGTGTACCTAGCATAATAACAAACTTAAGACACCCTAAGGAAATTCATAAATACAGAAAGATGCAATTTAACCCCTCTTATGATGCAACATAACTATTAAATAAATTTCAAAATTAAACATTACTTTAAATATGTTTATCATATATAGTAAGGATCAGAGTTCCGTCCTTTCTAGCCGCATTCTATTTTAGGCAACTAATTGAGTCAAGAATAAAAGGAGTGTTTCTCTTGAACTAGGGGTTTTCTATGAACGATTTTTTTTTCTTTTGTTAAACTTTCAATTATGGCTTCTTTTCTCTATCTTG